AGTCAAAAAAAAAGGGGAGCTGTCTGAGAATGAAAAAGAATATTGTAAAGAAGAGGTTATTTATGATGTTGTAGGCGATGATGGAATTGAATAAGAAGGATCAAGAGGAGTTTCAAATATTTCAATGTTGGCTGTCGAGTGAATATTCCTACGAGTAAGAATTGGCGATGATGATAATTCACTTATTGGAGTAATCGTATGCAGTGTTAATAAAAACTCTACATTTGAATAATCCATTCCTCTTTCCATTAGTGGAATCGGCCCAACTATAAAAGAAATAATTAAATCAATAAATAAAACATGTATTATATAATTAATTATCATTATTAATTACCATTAGAATAACCAGACTTTATTAAATTTTTCCAGATCCGGTTCTCGGATTTATTATTAGATGGGCCAATTTTTATTTTAGTTGTTGGGCATCCCTGATTACTTGAAAGCACACAATGAATAGTCAGTTCACTGATCTTGTCAAGTAAAAATAGGGATACTGGCCATTTGAATTCTGATTGTGAGGTTTTCCAGTAATCCTTGGTTGAATGTTTGTCTTGATCCAACTTAAATTCTAAAGGACCAGACATCCCGCACAAATCCTTATATTTTAAACGGGTTATTAAAATCATCCCAGTCCTTTCTTTTTCTTTATAAGATATGTTCTTGGGCGGCCGATTTACTATAAAGTAAATTTTAAATGTTAATTCAATTTCATTTAAACAAATCTTGACTCTGCTGTTTTCGGTTCGTTGATAATTCCTCATTTCATAAAAACTCTTCTTCGCTTCAATTAAAACACCTTCTGGTCCTTTGATTCTATTGTCCCAACATTTAATAATCAGGTTCGCATCTTTGTCAGCATCCAATCTTTTTATGTTTAATAAAATATTCTCGTTCCAAGATGCACTCTTGCTTAATTTATCCGAGGCTAAAATACTTGCAGAAAATAAATAATGAAACAAAACAAAAAAAGTAAATAATAGTATAATTACAATTCACAGAATATAAATAAATAACGTGATGATTACACTTTACGAGGTGTGGTGTATTGGCGTTCATCATTGTACTGAAATTCTATCTGCAATTTTGGTTCATTCATGTTAAGAGCTGTTTTAAGTTTTTTAAATTTCGAAAAGTTCTTTCTTGATTTGTCATTCATTAAACGGCTTTATTTGTTTATTTTTTATTGAAGAAAATTTAAATTAATTTATTTAATTTATTTTGAAATTTTAAGCTTTTCTCAATTTTATTATTTACCATTTTATTTTTTTAATTAAAATGGCTCCCGCATTTTCTTGATAAAAATTTGAACAATTCATTATTTGTTGCTTAATAATAATTATTATTTTAAATGCAATTAAAAACAAAAGTTCGAGAAAGAAAAAATAAAGTGTTTAAATATCAAATTTTCTAATTAATTAATCAACAATAGATAAGAAAAAATAAAAAATATAAATCAAGTAAATTAAATACTTTATTGTTTTATTGCTTGATTAGGATTAACAAGAAAAATGTTTATTCCGAGATCAAGAAATCCTTTTGTTGTATTTACATTTTTGAAAATCAAGTTTTTAACTATTATGGAAGTCTCATTGAAATGTGCACCTCTTTGAAAATCACAATTTTTTTAAAAATGAATTGCTTCAAATTTTCCTAAATTTAGATTCACTATATAGAAATTTACATCCCTTTTGTGTGATCTATTAATATATCTCTATTAAAAATTAGCTATGTTTAATCAATTCATTCATTCTCCTTGGTTATAATAATTTAAATGATCTTTAAAAAAATTCCTGCTGTCTCAACTTCAAGTGAACGTGTGATTTCTGATGCAGAAATTTGATGGCTGCAAAAAGAACTTCTTTAAATCATCTTTATTCGAGAAGATGCTTTCCTTGAAAAGAAATATGAAATTTTTTGATTTATAAAATTCGATGTGTGTAACTAATACTGATTTCTACAAATTTAAAAATTATCTGCGAAAAATTACTATATATGTATGACGACGCTACACCCGCACATTGAATTTTTGTTATAATAAATAATAATAAATATTCCGATATGCATGATCATATTCAGATCAACAGACAGAATTGTGCAACAGCAACCAGACACATATTGGTTGGTGGCAAAGCTTGTTTTCAACAACTTTATGTTCTTTAATATCAAGACTCCTGCCAAATTTAGATACTCAAGATTTAAATGGAGCGTCAATTTTTACTATGAAATTTAAAGTCACACAATTTACAACACTCCAATTTATAACCTATCTCCAAGTCATAGCCTGTTAACTCTCCAAGCTCGTTTGGTTCATTTTCTAGTAAAGCCTTTTCATTGTTGTTATCAAACTCCACTCTAGCTTTTCAAGCTTCGAAACTTGCTTTTTTTTCATCAGATAATTAACTTCACTGACAAAACACATTTCCCCACAAGTTTAGAATCCAAGTTTGTTTTATTCATGTCAAGGGTTCATATTCAATTATTATCATAAATGCTATCATATTAATGCACTTTCAAAGTTTGCCAAGGCATATTTGAAAGTATTCAAAAGTGTTACGGATATTCGAATAAGAATCGAATATCATTTCCATAAAATTACGAATATTCGAATATGGAGTTAGAGAGATACGTATATCACTGAAATTTGTCACCGAAAATATATTATTCTCTTAATTAACATCAATGCATAATCGTGTATTTTTCCGCAAAAATATGCAGATCATGAGAATATCCAATTTTATTGGTGGGTTGGGTGCATGTTATCCTTATTTAGAAATAGATTTGGCGATTGCGGATAACTATAACCATCAATGCCAATAAAAATATTATTATTAATGGAAAATTTTTTTTTTTATTTTTGATAATATTTTTGATGACCAACCGTGTATATTATTTTTTGGTGACCTGCCGTATTTATTATTAATAAGAAAAAATATATTTTTGGGGATTATTAATATTAATATGAAAAAAAAGATATAAATGCAAGTAATTTCCTTTAAATCAAAACTTGCAACAATAATAAAAAAACATGATTTTTTTTCGAATTAATTTCTTTATTATTAATAAAATACGCAGATCACCAAAAATATTAATAATAAATACGGCAGATCACCAAAAAACAATATACATGGTTGGTCATCAAAAGATTTTTTTCATAAATAATAAAATAATAAAAATATGGCACGCCAAAAATAATTTTTTTATTAGATGTTAATTAGAGAATAATATATTTCCAGTGACAAATTTCAGATGTAATAAATATTGATTGACAAAAAATGGCAAACTACACAATTATGAAGTTTATGACATATTTGCTTATAAATATGAAGATCATGAAGAGGAATGTGTAGATAAAATTGATAAATTTTTTATGGACAAGGGGGGTAATGTAATGACCACATTAGCAGTGATAATGATGATTATCACTTCATAGGACACATAGAAGAACATCAACCAACAACTCATTGATCATGGTTCTCTGGAGCAGTATTAATGTTGGAAATGAACTGGCAAGATATGTAAAGACAATCCCTAATGCTTAAAGTAAGTTTTCTGATTTGTCAGATGTTATGGATTTAGTGATTGTGTTTAATCATGAAATTTTTTCTCTTATAGTCTCATGTACTTGATCTAACTGAAGATATATTAATAAAATCTTTTTTTTCAAAGGAAGATTGGGATGAAATCAATGAGAGTTTTAAAAGAGATGTAAAATTAGTTGAGTCAAATATGTTGAATATTGTTGAATATTTTTTTGATGAAGTAAAAGAGGTTGATAAAAAAATATTTGTTTATTATATTGTTTTTAAAATGTTGCTGACACACTGTATTTTTAGATAACAAAGAAAGATGATGAAAATATTATCAACACAATTAATAATTTTGACTCCAGAAATCATAGAAAAAAATAAAAGCATAAAGTTAACAAATGAGGATAAAGAAATTATTATGAGTTTAAGATGGACCATCATCACATAGTGAGTTAAGCAATATAGATTAATTCACATTTCTTTGTTTATTTAATTCTTACAATCTTCTACCACAGTGCTGAAAACTTGAAAGATCTCAAACTTCCTATTTCAGAAGCTGACTCATCAGGAAATTTACATAATTATTAGACTGTTTATATAAGTTTACAGTGGGGCCTGTAATATTATGCAAAAAATTATGCAATTATTACCACACTGTAGTAAAAAACAAAGAAACCAACATAAATTCATGAAAAGTGTCTAACACCTTTGTGAATTAAATTTTTATGCTATCAAAAAAATTTATTCATGGAGAAAAATTTCCATGATTAAATTGTTACTATTTCTTTCTACAAATTAAAGCCATTATTACAATACAATTACAATAACTATCACTAATACTTGGTATTTTTTTCGATTTTTGTTAATTTCGCATAATAATAATTATTAATAAATAAATACTTACTTTAGTACCTGAGTTTGAAATACACGTAGACATGTCAATATTGATATGTAGAGTTGTGTTTTTCGTTTTTTGACTTTGAAGCTAACTACGCATAATAATAAATGCACAATAAAATAAAATGTGCTTGAGTATTAGTGTTTGAATTGAAACACACATAAGTTGGTCAATATTGGTACGTAGAATGTCTTTTACATAGTACATAAGTCAGGTTGAGGTACAGGTTTTTGTAAAGTTTTAAAGGTGATGAAAATAGAAAACAAAGAAAAAAAATAATGCTAAAATCTTTTTATTGTTGAATTATTAGCATCACGATGAGTCAATCACTAGTGATAATTCAGATTTTTTAACTTGATTGGGTGGATTTAATAGTTAAATAGTTTATTCAATTCCTTTAAATTTTTCTCCATCAGGATTAATAATAATTAAATTTTGGGGTGATATGAAATTCTGATTGGCTAATTTGAATTCCACACGTGTGAATTGCAAATTCACATAGATTTCATTTTCACGCACAACAGTTCCATGTAAGGTTGCTTGCCGAAACTCCTCCAGAAATCAATTGGCAGGGTTTCGGCAGGTTACACATTAATTGTTTATTAGAGTTTCGGCAGAGTTTCGCATTTTGAGGTTTTGCCATTTTGGCATAGTTTCAACAGGATTTTTGATAAGATTTAATATAGTCTTACCGTGGTTTCAGCAATTACTAAGAAGGTTTCGCCCACAACCTTAGTTCCACGCATTTAATTAATTCTCTGCAAAAGGAAATAATATAAAGAATTGTGTAAAGAATTATAGATAAATGGATGAATAAATAAATGGACTACTGTCATTCTCAATACAAAAAAAAAAAATTTTTTTCCACTATTCAATAAAACACAATAGATTGAGCCAAGTCAAATTTTTAAATTTTATAAATACACTTATTTTTATATAATGTCTCATTACAAATTATTATCACTAGAAAGAAGGAGATTTGTAATTAAAGTTCGTAATGAAATGTATAATAATGCTCTAATGAGTTCTGATGGAGAAAGTAGAAAAGATTATTATTTTTCATTAGTCAAAAAAAAAGAGGAGCTTTCTGAGAATGAAAAAGAATATTGTAAAGAAGAGTTTATTTATGATGTTGAATTAATTAATGTAATATATAAACATGGTAAATCAAAAGAATGAAATAAGTGTAAATCAACAAGATACTCTGATAGATTCTGTAAAGGTTGCATTAGTTTACAATTACAGAGTCTTTTCACTACTTGGACATCTGGAAACAACATAGTTGATGAATTCATTCAACAATGTCAAATGAAATCATTTCTGCCAACTAAAATTATAGAATGGATACCCTTTGAGCAATTTGAAAAAGTAACCAAGTTGACAGAGGGTGGATTTAGTTCAATTTATACTGCTGAATGGACAAGAGGATATGTAATTGATTATAATGAAAATAAAAAGGAATTTAGTTATCGTAAACAGAAAGATGTAGTGTTGAAAAGTTTGAATGATTCAAGTAATCCAGGAAAAAGCTTTTTTGATGAGGTTGGCAATTGTCATTTAAAACAAAGTAAACAATAATGCTGTATTATACAATGCTAATTGATTTTATATTTATTTTCAGGCAATGAATTATTGTAAAATTAAATCAAATTTAATTAATCCTTGTTATGG